AGCTACAAGCAACAAAATAACTTCTTTTTAGAGAAATCGAGGACATCAGTAACCAGATTCAAGTCACTAAATGATGTTCATCGACACTGTTCTTAATGTAGAAGCATTTATGAGTAAAATCAAGTGCACTTACGCATTTGCTAATCGTTACCTACAGGAACCTGATCCACGGTTAACAATAAAGGATTGTGCACTAGCACACAAAACCATGTCATTTGTGGTCATGGCATCGAACCCAGTAACGACGCAATTACGATGAGAGGAAAGCAAATCGGAGGATTAACTATTTTGCACGAACAATCTTTTGGATATTTCTTACTTCGTAACGGTCTCATCACAAATCCCAACAGATCAACAGCTTCAGTTAGCGCGTGTGATTGATGACAAAAAGTTTAAATTAGTGGAGCAAACTACGACAGGGCAGATTGCAATCGAAAACAGTTCATGTCAGTGAAAAAAACGATAAAATATTGATGCAGCGATGAATTATCAATTGAGAAACGCAAACTTGCCATTTGGTCTCGTCCAGATGGTCGCTTCAACAACATCACTGCAGAGTTCACCCGATGGCATCCACGCGCATGCCTCCACCGTGTAGTGTGTGGCTGCAGAAAGACCACTCAACTCGCATCCCCGTGTGACCCTTTCCACCCCTATTTCACAATATGAGGAAGCGTTGGTGTGATTGACGCTGATGTTGTAATTGCGGATGTTCTGCGTGTTGACAGGAGGCACGACGGTCACGTTGATGGAGGCGTTTGATGTTGCCAACACAGCTATGCCCATCGGAGCTTAAAATTGAACACTTTATGTCTTAGTTGGCTCCAGAATATAAAAAGAGGATGCAGAAAAAATTAATATAATCAGCAGCGTTCACAGTAGAATACATCGTAATTCTGTGGACTTTGTTGACTGGTCGTATATCTACAAATAAACAGTGCTTCTTTGGAACCAACCGTATCACATGTGATGGATGCTTCCCATTTCTTCAATTTTACAAAAAGTAAACGATATTGGAAGTAACGCAATTGCATTAACTGTTGTGGAATTTTGCCTAAAGCGATACACTGCAACGACATGACGTCTCAATTGAGTATTTATCAAGTTGTTCGTAAATCTGTCAGTAATAAACATTGCAATCTAGAGAAACTTACTTTTCCCACTACTTTCACTCTCATGTAAGAATATTATGCTATTGCCAGCATTAAAAGGCAAGACAATTCAGGTATTGGTGTCTGCCTTGGACAACATCTTATCGTATTTATCGATTTTAGGGCCTGAATAGAATTATTGATTGAAACTGCGGTATTGATGATGCAAAAAATGCAACCTTCGTTTTGAAACTTCCGATGAAGTGTCCAACATGAAGTCAACAAACAGTTATTCACCCAAATACTATCAGAGAAGAGAGTTACTTAAAGCGGGTTTAACAAAACCTACCATTTGGCTTCGTCCATCCAATCGCTCCAACGGATTCACTGCAGAGCTGACCTATCTGCATCCAGGAGCATGCTTTCACTACATACTTTGTGGCTGCAAAAAGCCCTTCCAATTTGCATCCCAGCAGTTCTTTTCCGACCTCTATTTTGCACAAGGGAAAGATGATTGCGTCATTCAAAGTCACGTTGTAGTGTGAAATGTTTGCTGTGTTGACAGGCGGCTGTATTGTCACATTGAGTGAGGAGTTGGAAATTGCAGTTACGTTGACAACTTCTGAAGCTACAAGCAACAAAATAACTTTGGTAAAATCTCTCGATGCTAAATGGTCATTAAAGTACAACGAGTAGACAAGTTTGCATAAGTCAGTGAAAGCGACAGCATGCGGCACACCCGAATTCTGCGTGCTTGCATTAACAACTGGACACTTTGCGTGGTTAGTCCCAAACAAGTAGCGTCGATGACATCAAGGCAACGTATTTTGCCACATGTCTGGGTTCCCACAGTAATTCATACTTAACAGGAGCAAGCGTCGTCACATCCTTAATTGTATCTACGATCACAGTCCATAATAACCGTTCGCAATATCCCTTCACTCAGCCTACGCAGCATATTTGAGGACAATGCACAATTAGAGTAAAAGCACACAACCGCTGACATCAACGGTAGTCAGGTACGACGATGGCACACACGGCTACCGACGTCACCATCATATTGAGGAAATAATAGTGCCGTATTAGT